AAATTGCAAAAACATGAATTAGGGTCCCTGTCCTTAAGTGTATTTCAGTTTGCATTTTGATAGCAGTTTAGACATGTTATCGCCTGCTTTGTCACAGACATAATTCACATCTTTCTTCAGGCACTGTAAACAAGAGAAATGGTTTAATGGCTCCATAAAAGGCACTCTGTGCTGATAGCTGAGATTAGACCCTTTAGTAATGGATTTTTGTGTGTTGGGGGAGGGGAGGGCTTCCCAGAGGTAAATGTACTGGAAAAGAATCTTGGAGAGACTCTGATGTATCTGAAATGCGTGCTGTATTTCAGTGTGTATTGAGAGAGAGAGATTTAAAGTGTGACAGTGTTGGCTTTATCAGTACAGGGGCCTTCTCTTCTTGCTTTTGAAATTTTACCAAGTACTATCTTGGGTCACCTCTCAGTCTAGCACCTGGAGTTGTATTGGTATTAGCTTAAGTATTTTTACATCTCTTGTCTCTTCATCTTGCTGTTGAAAAAATCAAATCCCCTATATGCAAATGTATTCAAGAAATCTCTCAAAACTTACATTGCATATTAATGTGCCAATTGATGATAAGAATGAGTTTATTTACAATATTAGGTTTAGAGGGTGATTTGAGAGCATAAATGTGAAAAGCAGTTCAGAAACAGCATGTTTAGGCTATGACTTTTTGTGACTTCCCAGTTACTTCCTTTTCACTGGAGGTAATTCTACTATATTCACAAATTTAGTATTACCTATGAGATATCAGAGTTCACTAGCACAAGCAAGGTGTGGTATAAAATCAGCTGCTGTCAATTGATTTTATTCCATATAGGAAGTGCTGTTGATCTACAAGTGTTGATAATAAGACATCTTTGTCTGTTTGGTCAGTGGAATCAAGATTGTCTGCCGTTAGCCAACGTCATTGAATTACCAGTAATATTTCATGGCTTTAAAAAATATGTTTAAATCCATTCTTCTTCAGAAAATAAAATCAGATTTTATTTTGTGTTCTGGGCAGGAGTCTGAAGTTTGAAATTTATAAAATAACTTTTTATTGGAAGGAGAAATGACTTGCAATTTCACATAAAATATTCAGTTCTATCTGTACAGAAGTGGTACCTTTCCTGTTTCTTAGGCTAGAAGGTTCACATATCAGACTCCTCTGAGACAAACCAATTCCTCCTTTAATTTTAGAGTTCTTAAAAAATTATTCTTCATTTAAGTCTTAAACTGGATGTTGTTATGAAAATGTTTTGGGATTAGACTGTTGACAGATAGCAGTGGAGAACAACACTGCTAAAGGAAGGGTAGCAAGTTTCACCCTGTGTTTTTGCACATTCTATGTAAGTTTACTTCGTGATGAAATCATTGCTTTGTATAAAATATAGGTCTGTACAACAGCATGTTAGGTATAATATTCAAGCCCTTTTACTATCCAGATATAGATATATTTATACAAAGAAAATATGCATGCAGTAATGTATTATACCTTCATGAATTTGCTGCAGATGGTAGCAGTCCTTCTGCTTGCCTTATATCTGTGTGTTGGCTTCAGAGGAGCTCTAGACAGGGTCTGTGGTCGAATCCTTTCTGATACTGATAAGCCTGACTTTCCCCAGTAGCTGAGGTGTTGAAGCCATTCATCTAAATACACGTTGTAAGATTGTTTGCCTTTCAAGTTTGGAGGTAGTTATCTGTAAGTAATCACTCGGGATGAAATCTTGGCCTTTGGTCACTTCTTAATAAGATCATTAGTAAGGCAGAGTGCCCGTTACTTTAATAGGGTTGAGACTCTGTTCTGAGGTTAAGTAAAATGAGTTTGCCATCAGGAAGAAAGAAGTGATGAGAAGCTGGTTGTTTAAAATGTCATTTTGTTAATTTGAATGTGTTGGTAGCTTGGTATGCTGCACTAAAATTAGACTTTATAAATAAGCAACACTGCTCTCCTTAAAAGAAAGTGGATTGAAAACCTAATATAAAATCCAGTTTAGCAAAACAGTATATGTTTAAAATCTGCTTTAATAGATGAACTGTAGAATGAGTGTCACACTAAAATGAAAAGTGACGGGTGGAGGGTTTTCAGTGATGATACAAGAACTGCTTTGAACATTTGAAATGTTATTGTTGGAATAAGTCTGTCATCTTCAGCCACACTTAAGATTGCTTGAAAGGGTGAGTAGCCTTCAAGAAAGACCCCCAAAAATGCAGTAAGTATTTTTATCAGGCTTTTTTCCTTTTTGCCTCTAAAAGTGTACACTTAAGGAGTTACAGATAAAGCTTAGCTTGGTGACTGTGTCAGGGGACTGCCCGAGGAAGGCTTTAAATTTTACAGCTACATTATCTTTCTGGCCATAGTTAAGATAAAGATCTAATATAAAATCACTTTGGACTGTAATGCTTTCCCTAAATGAAATGAAGGTGTTAACCTACTTGATTTGATACACTTTACCCTCGCTTATAAAGCCGGGAGAAAGGTGAGGTAAACTCTAATTAAAACTACAGCACAGATGCCTTCTAGCACTGCGCCCTGTACCTTGCTAGGACTGTACAGTAAGCAAAATAAAACGTACCTCGCAGTGGAGGCAGCAGGCTGGAGCCGTGTTCAGTGAAAGTAATTTAATTAGTGTTGATCATGACTCCAGATGATGGTGATTTGATAAGGAATAATTTAGTACTTAACAGCCTTTTACATGCACCAACTCCATGTGGGAAGGTAAAGCAAATTGCACAAAATGAATGTGCTGCTTTCACTTGTGCCTGTGCCAGTGAGCTGGAAAACTGCCTGTTAGCAGACGTTCAGGCTCTCAGCACTGTGATGAAATACCCAGCCAGTTCTCCGCACAGGGCTGTGGTGTGGGAGTCTCTGTACTCCCGTTATTTAAAAATAAATAAGGGAAGTAATTTTTCATAACAGATTAACTCTGAGGAAGTAGCAAAGTAAAAATAAAAAAAAAATAAAAAAAATAGAGCAGCATGTGGCCTTTGTGCAAATATGTGATACTGGCCTTAAAAAAGAGTCTTGTTGCATTTGTGTTTTAATTTTCGGATTCAAGTCAAAGAGATTGCCTACCTTTGCATCAGAGCCACTGTCCCAGAGTTGTGGAGCCCACCATACACATTAAATGTGGGGTGTATGTTATTTGACCAAGACATGCAAAGTAGAGTCAGCAGTAAAAGTCAACTAGCAATGTCTTGGAACAAACTACTGGATGTCAGCCTGCTTTGCGATTACAGTGGAAAGCTGACTGGGCTGTATTTTGCCATATTTTTTGCCATAATTTGCCGTATTTGAGAGTGTTTTTTCAAGAAGTCCATGTGGTCTTTTTTTTAGTGCAAATTCAGTTTTATTCAGGAAGAATTCTTTTCTTGTGATGTTCACCACTTCTCATCTCTGTTTCCTAAGTTACTGTGGTGTGAGTATGCATTTGCTTACCTGTTTTACTGTCTGCTTCTCCTTTCTAATCTTTCCACATAACTCACTACTATCCACCGAATATAATAGCTGAATAGCAGTTTTAAAGAGAATTCTTGTAAGTTTTATGAAAATATGTGTCAAAATAACAGTGTTATGTTGCAGATCTCTCAGCTGAAAGGCAGTAGTAGAAGCTATCATATAATAGGATCTGAGAGCATCTATTTGGGAATGAGTTCTGTGAACATTGCCCAACCATGAGAAAACCCATGACAAGAGTCTGGAATCCAGATGTTACAATGCCAGAATTTATTGATTCTGATGCTCACTTCTTACACAGTGTTCCATTTATCTCCCTACTGGACATAGGCATGTGTATGCAGGTGCATTAATATCAGAAAATATACAGTCTGTAACAAATTGTCTTTCCTAAGTTCGGGTGCATTAGAAAGAGGCAAGATGCTACTTGACAGTATATAATAATGGCCTGATTTTGTGCTGAGATTCTCTGTCAGGAACTGGGTTTTCATGGAGATGCAAGTGTCTGTATCAGTCTAGAATGTGATGTTCAAACTATGGTGTTTTGGTGACAACATCAAAAATCAGTGATAAAATTGATCTCCAAATTCTAGGCATCTCAGAGTTAAAAAATTTATTTTCAACCTCATTTTATTTAAAACTTAACACGTGTGTTTTCAGGCTCTTACATATCTGTCTTTTAGTCCTTTGTCCTCTTAGCCACTTAGGTTTGTCAATGTCAGGTGAACTTTGAATTTTCTTCTGCTTTAATTTTGGTTAAGGTTGGATATGAGAGTTGGCTAAAACTAATTTGCTTTACCTTTGGCCTTTTTATTAATACAGACCAACTTGTGCTTCTAATTAATGCTGAATTTCTGTCACATCCCCTCTGGATTTTTTTTTAACTTTTAAAAAAATTTGATTAAATTTTTTTTCAATTTGTGTCTCTGTCGCATCTACTACTGACTTTGATGAAGCCAGGATTTTGTCTTGTGTATTTCTAAGAAAAATTACTGAAGCCATTTCTTTTGAAATTTTTTTCAGATGTTGCTTATAATTAAAGGCACATATAATCATCCACTTTCAAGAGTTTCACTGCAAATTTTCGAGGGTTTTGTGAGACAAAAAAATTCCTGATCTTATACTTGAGGCTGATATATGAGAAATTTATTTTGTAGTCACTTGTGTGGCATTTTTTAAAGTGAACTACAATTGCATTTATAGCTAAAAGCTACCTCACTGATATTACTTAGAAACATTTGGTGCCTGGGAAGTATTTTGCCTCTGACAACATTTACAGTAGTTAAGCCAAATATAAGTGGGCTGTTATTTTCCTGCTAATGAGATGGGATGCTGGCCATCATTCTATTAAACAGTAAAAGTGAAAATAGCCAATGCAAAGGATCTCTGATGTCTGTTTTTCAGTTGACACCCAAAGAAATATTTGAAATGTTTATTTCCTATATTGTTTTTAGTATTACAATGGTTTAATTAATTATGCGTTTAATTAGCAGTGTCTAGCTTATTTGAGAGAGCTAATTGTTAATATTGTACTTGGGTTTTAATTACATTTTCTTTCTCTTTCCAGTGGCTTTTCATGGTCTCCCTGTGAAAATCAAGAAGGAACCCCATAGCCCATGTTCGGAACTTGGCTCCGCTTGCAGTCAAGAGCAGCCATTCAAGTTCAGTTATGGGGAAAAGTGCCTGTACAATGTCAGGTAAAGCAATCCAGGAGCATGTTTGCAGTGAGAACTGCTGATTTAAATGAGGAATGACTAAAGAGTAATAAAACCATAATAGAGATCTTATAAAACTTACCTCTTCAGCAGATAACAGACTGATGAGATAATGCATTTAGCTGATGAACACTGATGGATTTGTTTACAGTTGTATCAAACACTTACATAATCATTTTAAAGCAGTGTTTTTCATCAAAATGCATATTCTCCATTCCTCCTCCATGGGACATACCCAGAGTTTAAAAACCCAGGGTGCAAGCGTGAAATAGAAGGAAGGAGTGTCTTGTTTTCTGAAAGTTGTAGTGAAGGTACTTTCAAAATGCATTAGGCATATTAGGATAGAGAGATCTGTGTAACAGGCGAGAGACTGGCAGGTCTGAGCAACACATTAGATATTTGACAAGTTTTGCACATGTTGCATGTGTATATTCATGGGTGATTACAATTTCAAACAGTATTTCATTAGGCTCTGCATCTTTGGTATTTATTCAAAAGCAAGTTGTCTTATTTTATAGGCATAGATATTAAAAGCTTTTTTTATGTGTAGGTGGTAGAGGGGCTTGTAACTTCTTCATTCTTTATTGACTTTCTTCTGGTTGCATTTTTGTGTCACTCTTTCCTTTAGTGTCAGCAGTGAAGGATTTCTTATTGACGTACTACCAAAACTGTTAGCACTTAAAACATTTACATTTAACTTTCTGGATATGAAGAGGGGAAAAAAAAAGAAAAAGACTGGCACCTCTGCCAATCATAAAGGAGTGATTTTGGTTTAAAACTCAAATTAATCCACTGATGGATTTGATGGGTGCTAGAGAACCTGACATAGGAAATGACACAAGCTTGTGCTTACAATATGCCTAATGTCTGCATTTTTCCTGTTTAGAAAGAGGGATGATCGAAGTGTTCTCAAGTCCTTTCCTGGTTTGAGACACCTTTGAAAATAGGATCTGTGTATTTGTAGGACCAGCAGTTTATTTCTGAGAGAGAGGGGTAAAAAAACCCTGTCGGTAGAGGTTGCTGACATCCTAGTGTGGGTAGCTAAGCCAACATACCATTGTTTTTCTAGGTCAAATCCCTTCCCTCTAGCTGTATTGTTTTACTGTCTCACTTTGTGTTTTGTGCAAGCTTTAAAAAAAAGTCTTGGCAGGTGGGGCCAGCTCTTTGTGCTCTGGTCCAGGTGCTTCCACTTTTTGTATACCTCCTGTTAGAATGTCACTGTAAGACTGAATCTTTAAAAAATACATTTCTTTGCCCCAGAGAAGAAAATGCTGTGCTGAAACACTCGTCTCTAGCATGATTTGTTGTGTGCTCTTCTCAGTGTAAAGTAGAGAATTCCTCTGCCCCATACTGGTTAATAAGTTAATTATAATGAAAAGCTTATAAATGTTACACCTGGGGGGGATTTTTTCTGGATGTGGATGCTATGTTGGTTTTTGGTTGTTTTTATTCCGAAGAAATAACCTGACTTGCTTTTCCCTTGCCTTACTAATAGTGCCTATGATCAGAAACCACAAGTGGGAATGAGGCCCTCCAACCCACCGACGCCATCCAGCACTCCTGTGTCGCCGCTGCACCATGCCTCCCCAAACTCAACTCAGACTCCTAAACCTGACCGGGTTTTCCCTACCCATCTCCCTCCATCCCAGTCCATTCAAGACAACAGCTTCCCTATGGACCACAGGTAAAACATGAAACACGTGGGGGACCCATGCAGGTGTTTCAGTTGTGGCTACAAGTCTCTTATATAGGGTAATACTGGCTTCCTGCCCACAACTATTCCCTTAGGGGGACAGAGGTGAAAAACAGCAAGGTTCACAGTGTCAGAAATATGTATGTTTTGTGAAAGGCTGGCACTTGGCTTGCTGCACTACTGGTAGGAGTTCATATTAGCAGTGACAGAATTTTGATGACCTGCTGCTTCTGTCTTGTGAGGGTGATTACAGTGTGCTGGATAATCTCATCTAGGCTCCCTTTCCCACAAAAGGTTGGACCTGATGTTCTTTCAGTGTCTCTTCCAACCTGGGCTATTCTATGGTTCTCCGATTCACTAGAGGCTAGAAAGTCCTACGAGGTGATGAAGTCAATAGCAAGCATGTTCCTGGCTATAAATATCTGGCCTCTTGCTAAGCAGTTCACCTATCTAAGAGATAAGTGGCCATGTTACGGTGTTGCTGCTTCAGAATATTCTTTGGAAGGGTGGATCAATTTTCCAAACCCTTTTGTAATGTAGCATTTCAAACAGCTAAAATGCCAACGTAAACTGTGCTTAAATAACATTAGTCTGAGTAAAAGCCACAAGAGCTAGAGACTAGAATTAAAGCTTAAAATGTCCTTAAGTTACCCTGTTTTATTTTGATACGTTAGAAATCCCCAGACAACTGTCTTTCTTAGCTCAGTTTTGCAACATATATGCTCAGTGGATTCTGAAATGCTTGCATGAACCAAAGTTGATTCAGAGTCAAAGTACAGGAAGCCCAAGAATGATTAGGTCTTCATTTCTTTGTGTGACAGTGAGAAGCTTCCAGAGAAAGTCACAGGTTACTTTTTCTTTTTTTTCCTTTTTTTAAAAAAGTGTGTCTTGTTTATAATAAGTGATAACAGGACTATTTTTTTAGTCCAAATCCTTGGTTTTGGAATTCTGTTTATCCTAACCTTTATTGCATGAACCTGTTTTTTTCTGCTCTGTTGTGTGATTGCTCTTGAACATTTAAAATTCCATCGATGTGTAAATATATATACATATATGGTGAGAAACTCACCTTTTAAACATTATCAAATTAAGAAAGACTTGAAAAAAAAATCTTTTGGGATTTTGTTGGGAGTGTGATTTGCATGCTTCTGCTCTAATAAAGGCTGTTACCTCCAGGGATTTGTGCAGATCACATCTGAAGGAGGTTGCTAAGGTTAATATTGCTGTTTTGTGCTCTGCTGAGATAGCTTTAAATACCACCCAAGGTTCTCTGCAAGCTCTTCTGGAGGTGAAGAAACACTGAATAGACCCCTTCAGCTGCCATAGTCACCATCATCTCTTCAGCTGTGGACTGTGGTCTAAGCACGCAGGCCCCCAGTGAAGCCAGGCAGCAGTTTTGATTACAGGATGATGGATAAACGTGTTTCAGTATATACACCAAAGTCAAGCTGACAGGAGACTGAAATTTCCAGAAGCTAAATAGGTTATGTGGAGAGAGCAGTAGTAAGATTTTTCAGATGACAGAAAATCTTCTTTTTTAAAGCAACTTGTAAAGAGAATACTGAACCTGTATGTCAGCCCTGACTTGAGTATTTGTAGATATTTGTGTACATCTTAGTGTAATTTCTGTACCCATAAACTTGCCCTGCACAAGCTTTGTAGGCTCTTTACAAGATTTCTGCTTTACCCCACCCCACCCCTGTCTTTGATATTCATGTTCCTTAGGGCATTTTGCACAAATGCTTCCCTTCTGTAATAGTACATCACGTGTTCTTGTGAAGTCCAAAATTGCTGACTCAAGCAAAAAAAAAAAAAATTATTTTTCTCCTTTTTTTTAAAAGTGCAATTGCAGTGGAAGATATTTTCCCCCATTTTCTTATTTTTATGAATCTTGTGTTTGAAGCAAACGTACTTCATTTTTTCACGAAATTCAAATCTTCCTGATTTACAGGGTGATATGCTACTACAATGAGTGTATTTAGAAAATGTCATTTAAACAAATGACTTACCTATGTGAGTTCGTATGTGAACCTATAACTCAGGGCACATTTCTTTGGAACATGTATTGGTGGCATAAGATAGCATTAATATCTAGTCCATATAGCCCATACATCTTCATACAGAGCATGAGTGTATGAATGATAAGTGGTCCTAACAAGTACCAACAGGAAACAAATCCACTTGTATAAACAAATGGCTTGATTCCATACAAAGCTTCCAGTACAACAAGTATTATTAACTTCCTTTGAGGCTTTGTGAGTGAGCCTGTTTCTTATTTTATCTTCAAGTTGCAATTTTCTGATTCACTCCTTGACAGTTCTTAATGATAATTTCTGCTTCTTTTTTTGGCTAATGAAAAAAGGAAAAGAGGGAAATGAATGCAGTGCCAGTCAGCCTAACTGTTTCATAATACATTTGAGTTTCTAAGTTTATTTTCTGCAGGTGTAGGTGGAATTGCAAAACCCAATGTAACAGTGCAGTACTCCTTCTACTGCAAAAATTAAATTATTTACAGCAACATTTAGAAAATAAATTTTGTCTCCACTACTACATTGTAATAGTTTCTATCTCTGTAGTTTCCACAGTATTTGTAATTAAACTATGAGAGCAACCATTGTCAGACCAAGTTACAGCAGTATTATGACAGATGGTAGTAGAGTTTAAATTGTTTCAGAAATATATACTACCTATGAGTTGATAGCCAAGGGTTGTATTGCTTATGCAATCAAACCCCTGCATTGTTCCTCACTCACAGAGTTTTCTCTAAAAGTCTAGTTTCGCTTGCGTGAACCGAAGTTGGTTCAAATTCGAAGTCCGGAAAACTCAGGAATGATAAGGTCTTCATTTTTTTCAGTGTGACAGTGAGAAGCTTCCAGAGAAAGGCAGAGGTTGCTTTTTTTTTATTTAAAGTGTATCTTGTTTACAATATGTGATAACGGGAGTAGTAAGCAGTTTCTTGCAAGAATGTTGCTCTGCTGTTGGTTAGTGCAGACACAGTATTACTACAGTGGTGGTTACTACTGTGGTAATCTGCAGGAGATAACTAGAAGGCTTCCTGCGGTTCATCAGGGCATGATGGGAAAATAGCATCCTTGTATTCTGTATGCTTCTGAACCTGCAGACATCCAAGTAATTTTATTCAGGCCTTTTAGGTCAGGTAGATGGGATTTAGGGAAGAAACAAGAAGCATAGGTTCTTCATTTCATTGCATGTAAATGAAGTTAATTTAAAACTGAATTATCTGAGTTTATGCCTACTGAAGAGCATTTGGGAGTAGTGAATGGCAGTGTGGCTTGTATGGATTACTACTTTCAAGTAGAAATGACTAAGGGAAAAAGTTAAGGCAGGAGGGTAATTCTTTCTCTTGGCAAAAATTTGTACCCTTTCCTCTTCCTGGGGTGCTGACATTCCCTTTCCATTACAGCTGAAGAGCAGTGCCAACCTTGCCAGGTAGATCTCTCGTGGCACTATCCCTGAGAAGACAGAACAGTGGACTTTTACCCTGGAATGCTTCCAAATGTTAGAGCAGACAATACTCTATTCAAAATGTGTTTATTGTGGTCAGGAATGGTTTTTGTGTAACAGTAAAATGCGTAAGAATAAATTAGAGTACCAGCAATATGTTGGTAACACTTGTGAAAGAGCAGAAAACTCTACCTACGCCTCCTTCGTGTTATTGTGGTAGAATGTCAGTCTTTCTACTGTTTTGCAGCTGGTGCATTTCCTGTTTGTCTCTTCTTTTGAGAGAAGATAATGAAAGCAAAGAGGATGTGGTGGGAACAGGTCTTAGAGCTGGTATTAATAGGTGGGATTCTTGTTTCTTTGCTTGTTGCTGTTCTGCCATGCAAGTGATCCTGATGGGAGCACTTGGCATGATCATAAGCAAAATGTTTGTTACTGAGAAAGTGTTGCAGCCACTAATAATGACCATTTGGGAAATGAAGTCCTTTACATGACCTTTCTAACTTGTGTCCTAGATTTCGCCGCCAGCTCTCTGAACCTTGCAATTCTTTCCCACCTTTGCCTCCAATGCCAAGGGAAGGACGTCCAATATATCAGCGCCAGATGTCTGAACCAAACATCCCTTTCCCGCCTCAAGGTTTTAAGCAGGAGTACCACGATCCAGTTTATGAACACAACGCTATGGTTGGCAGTGCAGCCAGTCAAAATTTCCCCCCTCCTCTGATGATTAAACAGGAACCTAGGGATTTTGCATATGATTCAGGTAGGTGAGACTCACCTTTAGTTCTGCATAGTAGAGGAATAAATGAGTCCAAGCCAGTGCTATTGATGTTTTGGTTGTATGACTTGAAACTTGCTCTTTTGATGCTTAAGTCTCACAAATTATGTCTGAGCTAGCTTAAAAAGTAGTAAGATTGCTACATAGGACCATGTGACTTGTGCCACCATTGCTTGCTCTTTAATGGATTTCATTTTCTAGAACTCTTATGTCCAGAAAGTGCACAGGTTATAGAAACTGGAGAAGAAAGTCAAGGGTACAAAACTGAGCTTTGTTAAGAGGGAACTTGTTCTGTACTGTCTTGTCTCTGACCTCTGAATTTGTGTGCTTCATTTTACAAGCTCTTTCATTTGTCTGCCAGAAATAGAGGACTCTTTCTCCTCTTGCTTGCTTTACTTTAAATCAGGAAGAACTCCACTGAAGTGGGGTTTATACAGCTATAAAACCAATGAGGGAGAAGAATCGGCCAAATTGGTGTCAGCTTCTCAGTTTGTGCATACTGCTGTGTTTTGTGGAGGTACATAATCTGTGATGCTAGGTTGCTGATGTAGAGAATACACTGTTGCTATTAATAATGTTTATTATGACTGCGCTTATAAGGCAACTGGAACGGAGCCTTATTGCTCTACAGACAATACAAAACAGAGGAAGGTGGTGGCAGAGCCTGCTCTCAATAACTTCTGATCAAAATAGAAAAGATAAGCAATAGAAAAGATAGAAAAATAAATCAAGGGAATAACACTGTAAATGTTTGTCACGATTTAAACATAATATTTATATTATGCTTGGGAAAAGAGAGAGAATTAGGGATGCAAAAAATGAGTTTAGTAATGAGTACCAAGTAACAAGGAGAAGAAAGCTGGGAAGAAGGAAGCTGCAAAACTAGTATGGAGAAATTAAAACACATGGAAGTGGGCTAGGTGGGGTAAACAGTTGATTGGTATGGAGCCAAGACAATGCGATCAAAACATGTTTTTTAGTTTTAGTGTGATTTCTGCAGCTCCTCTTCAGTTTCTGCCTCTGTCCTGCTTCATGTATGCCACACTGTTGAAAAGGAGGGATTTCAGCGTGTCCCAGCCATGTTTCTGGAGGAGGAGAGATTGCTTTCGTACACATGCATGCTGAGTTGTGCAGTGGGAATGGGTGCCCCTGTCTGACTTTTGTCTGACTCCCTCTTGTTTTGGGTGCTGCTGTACACCCAGGGCTCTCCTGACGGTTCAGCCTCCTACAAGATGCTTTTGCAGTTTATTTCCCAAAGGCTACATGGCAGCTGACTTGAAGTCTCCTTTGAAATTTTAGCTCCTGACAAACTATCTTGCAATTTGATACAGTGTAGAACGGTTTTTTATTGTCTTTTCTGTACCTAATTTAACATTATTTAGTGGAGTATTTTGTATTAGCATTAATGTAAAGTGCTTGTTGTAGAGTTGATCTTGATTTTAGAACAGGGGAATTTGGAAAGTAGAGATGCTTTTTGCTTTCTTATTCTTGACAAGCAAAGAACCAGTCCTTAGGTAAATTTGAGTTAGGCTTATACAGGGAAGGTACCAGGGCTAAAACACTTCTCCAAGTCTAAATGTAAGATAGGACGAAAAGGAGTTCACATTACAAGGATCAGATCTAGAACTCAACCCATTCATTGATGAAGGATCTGAGATATGTGACTTTGGCAGTTGTGTATCTCTAATCTTACAGAGCAGTATGGGAGAGACTGCCTAGTTAATGTGGCAGTGGATAATAAATGGGGGACTGGAGTTTCAGGCACTGCCAGTCCCTTGCAACCTTCACAAGCATTGTTACTCGTTCTGCTAAATTAAAGGCAAAAAAAAGGCCCTTAAATGTGCTTCATATTTGGCTTGGAAGTAGGATCTTATTATTGCATACTATTACTTTAAATCTGGGTTGGCTGCTAGCATTCATCTTTCTTTGGAATATTCTTTATGGAAAAAAACCAGTAAATTTAATTCTGAAAGGAAGATGTACAAACTTTTATCCAGTCCTGTCATGCCTGGTTTTTTGTGCCATCAAGAACAACATTCCACTTTATAGTAATGATGTTCAAGCAAAATTGTTGTTTCTTCTGCAGATGAATGATTAGTTTTTAAAAACGTAATAGCTGTGTAACAAGTGGTCATGAAAAATTAATCTGTTGGTATCAGGAAGTACTTTTATTGGCCTCAGAATCACTGCATTTAAATTGACACATCTGTACGCTCCATAAATTGCAGTCAACAACTGTGGTCTGTTGATATTTTGTCTTGTTGCCATCTGTTCTCTAGGAACCATCATTTTCCATCCTTGCTAAGAGTACATTAAATAACCCCTTAGGAAACATAATGTATTTGACACTGAATCATTGATTTCATTTTTCACCTATGGATGTTCAGGGAAGGAGGAATGCCTTGGTGAAAAGTCTTTTTTTGCATGGTATTTTATTGCAGCTCAGATTAAAATATAGAAACATATTTAAAAAGTTCATTGTAATGCACCAAGATCTTCCTTCTGGGATGTTTTTGAAAGAGCCTCATAAAAGTTTGTTGTTTTTGTGCACTATTCTCTTATACTTTGAGGGAAGCTGGAGAATGAAAACTCTATTAAAACATGACATTAATTATGACATGGGAAATGGCAGATCAATTAGTTGTAATTGTAATTGCAGGTATGTAATTTCTACTGCAGAATGTTTGAGATAATGGATAAAGAAAAATGTCAACAGAGTCGAGTCTCTTCCTTATCCATCCACACTTCTAGAAGTCACAGTGCATCATATATGTTCAATCAGACATTTTCTGCCACAGTTGGTGGGGTTTTTTTCATGGCTGACAGTTGGATATATTTAGTACTTGGTAGTATATCTAGCAACTTTCTGCACAAAGATGCAGCCAAGGACATATTTGAGATTTTGCGTCATTAATGAATATACTCCAAAAAGCTTCCCAAGATCTTTGTTTACAAGGCCTAATAGTGGGCATTCCTGTGCAGCTAGCACTTCTAGAATTCGGTAATGTATTCAGGTACCTAAATAAAAAGGCCAAATTTGATATACTTAGTCTATACTGGGGTTTATTTTTAAGCAGGATCTTCACAGGCTTGATCCTTCCTACATAATGTAGTGTGTTTGCAAATATACTAAGATATGACTTCAGCTATGTGTGTATCAATTAATACTAAAGTTTTAAAATGACAAATTATTAAATTTACGTCTCATATTTTGTTTTGCCAACTTAAAATAGTTACTTTGGTTGGGAAATGTTTGTGAACGTGTCTTTGGAAACTGAAATTTGTCATACAATGGTGCTAGAGATAAGTAGAGGAGGAATTATGGCTTGCATATGCTTCTTACTGATAGCCAGGAATTTCTCTGTTGAAATCTAGATAGATTCAGTATTTCCTGAGCAAGTTAGAGGCATTAGCAGAGCTGTTCTCACAGTTTCATTTCACGGTAGCCTCACGATTAATAAGCTTGAATGGACCTTAAAAAATCTGGATTCTCTCCCTATCACAAAATTTTCATCCAAGGTACTAGTCACATCACTTAAAGAACAAACTCTACAGACAAAATTATTAGCCTCCATGTCTAGCTTTCTGAATAGCTCATCCCTGTATTCTTTAAGCCTCACAAGCAATAAATACCTTGTGTTGGCATGTGAGAATGGATGGGACACTGCCCCTCTGTTAAGAGAGACAAGCGTAGGCAGAGAGACACATCAGATATATATTCCTGTTTATTTTGGGTACCCAGTTAGACCTGGATAATTTTTAAAGAACATTATGTACTACATGTGTTCAAAGCATAGCTGCTAGGGACTTTCTTTGTATTTCTAGGTGAAGAAGTATGGGAACATCAGATTAGGATCTCAGCGTAGGCACAATAAAAATAAGAAGTGCATCATACCAAAAATCCGGCAGAAATAATGTGGCTACTTTGGAAAACCTCGATGGGGGTTGAATGGGCTTTGTTGGGGCCTAAAATTGACCATTCAGCTGTATTATCTTTTGGTTTCTTGAGAACTTCTGCTTCATTAAGTACACAACTTCCAGCCCCTGTAACAAATGAAGCAGGGCCTCCACCTGCAAAGCTGTTTACAGCATGGCTCTCCCTTCCCCAAACAGTTTTGACCTGTGCTCTCAAGGCAACAGTGCCAAAGCAAAAGGCTGTATCAGAATTCATTTGCAGCAAAGGAGTTGTATCAGGTTTGTGCAGGAAGTTTTTAATTGTGACACTTATTAACCTCCTAAGTTTGCTCTTATATGGAATGTTGTTAGCATTCTAATGATCGGGAACAGAATAAAATGCGCAAGTCCTTTCAAATACATGATGTGGTGTTTCTTGAAAGCAAGTCAATGCATATTTATGTGGGAAAAGGTCCCTATAGCACATTCTTTTCTAGGCATCAGCTGAAATATTCTTAAATTTGGGAGTTTGCAGAATAGCATAAGGGAAAGCGTTGAATTGAAATTTCAAGAATTATTTCTTTAGAGTATGTATTTTTGCAGATTACCTTTCTTTTTCCCATTTTTTTAAACAACAATTGGATATTCTATTGTACTTTTGAAGACAAAGTTTGGACATTTGGAGGTGTTAATATGAAGAGAAAAAGGAAATTTCAGCCGTCAGTCAGAGTCAGTGCAGGTTTGCTTTTTCCAGGATATTGTCTAGTGCGTTGACCAATGCAGCATTTAAAGTGATACAACTCATGGTGCTTCTACTACTATCTTTGATTACACTGGTTAATTTTTGTACAGTGCTCTGAAAACAAAAAGAGCTGTGTGAGTGCTAAGTATTATTACTATAATTTTTCCCCTGGGAGTTTATTTCACAGACAAATACACTTCACAGTGAAGAAATGTTTCTTGATCATAAGCCTAAATTTTCTCTTTGATCAGTTCCACTCCCTTGCTTATAGCTACACCTCTTCGTAAACAATTTCTTGATATTAACCTACCACCTCTAAATCTCTGTAAATGGTTTGCATGGATGCTCT